TCCAACCCAAACCGTTTTGTGATCTTATGAAAAGGGCAGTAATGATGTTCACATTCGTTACTTAGTGCCTGGGGCTGGTTTTTCTAAAGCACCACACAACGGTGTTTGCTGCTGCTGCTGCTCAAAGCTGTGGTGAGGGATCCCCGCTGCCCCGGGGGACTGGGGTGGGGCAGTGCCCACTGTGCTGGAAAACTCACCTGCTGGGATGACACTGCAGAGCCACAACAGCAAAAGGCTCCTTACCTGAGTTTTTGCAAACCTGGTGTAATTTCCCTGCTGAGTTCAACCAGACAGTTGCTGAGGAGCAAGAGCCTGGTCTGTGTGGGGAAGGGGTGCAGGGGCAGTGGGGTCCACGCTGCAGCGACGGGAGTAGGATGAAACAGCATCCTTGTACCTCGTGTGCCTCTGGGCTTGTAGGGAGCTCTCAGGCATTCGCACTGCAAAAGAGAAATTGTTCTGTGGGTTAAATCTTTTAAATACTCCACATCTGTAGTTTTCTAAGATGTTACTCAGATTTCTGTTACCTTCCTTTCTGCGAGATGCTAGGAGATGGGTGCCCAGATCCCAAACTTCCCGGTGTTTGGAGCATCAGAACAGACCTGGGCTTGCAGCAAAAAAAAACAGCACATCTTCTTTCTTCTTTATGAGGTTTTTTTTTTTTTTAAAGCCCTGTGTGACATCCTGCAGACACTCCTTGAACTCCTGAAGTTCAGTGTGAATTTTATGATTCTCTGGTTATTTCCTGTGTTTTCTGAACAAGCAAAAGGCTCCTGTGCTGGGCACAGTTCAAGGTTATAGTAAGGAAACAAGGTGGGCCATACATCCCAGTGCCCTGTCTGATGTGCTGCAAGGAATGGAAACGGTTCCCAGCCCCAGCTACCACCTGGAGGACAGCCTGTCCATGGGAGGTCATCCTTCTCTGGTGACAGAAGACCTTCACACCCACAGTGTAAAGGGCACCTAAAGAGAGTGACATTGATGTGGCCAGCAGCCATACTGCCAGGCCAGTGCTTGGCAGCCAAGGGAGGGCCCTTGGGGTTGAGTAACAGGGCAGAAAGCAGGGAGGAAGGGAGCAGAGCTGGGTGCAGCTGCGTTAAGACACAAGTGTTGCATTACCTGGCCAGTGAGGAACAGGCGCGATGAGAATGGAGAGAGGGATGTGCTGTCTTTGAGGTGCATTGCTGCAGGAGGTGAATGGGGGGAGAAGAATAATAAATGAGCTAGTGTGTAAAGCAAAGGGATAGCCCCGAGTGTCCTGCTACAGGAGCCCTGGGCTCTGTAACATATCCTTTAGTGAGGACAACCACGGGACCAGGGCCTTGGGCAAAGTGCCTCTGCCTGCAGCAGGGTTTCAGTCTGGGTGAACGTGCCAGAACCAGGACTTATCATAGAATCATAGAATCATTAAGGTTGGAAAAGACCTCAAGGATCATCAAGTCCAACCGACAACCCACACCACCTAACTCAAACTTTAAAAAAAAAAAAAACCACAAAACAAAAAAAACCCTAACTCGACTTCTGGTGGCTCCCCAGAGCTCCCCAGTTATGAGTCTTGGCTGGGCAGTCACAGGCATGAGAACTGAAACTCTTCGCTCCATAGTCTCTTTAGAGATAAAATGAATGAACTCCAGTGGAAAATGAATGCAGAGTTTTGTGAGCTGCTGAATCTTCGGGATACCATGTCCCACTGTGCTGGGCTTTGCAGAATAACAGTAAACTCCTAAAGGTTACACTTGCTTTAACATCACCACCGTCTCCTCTAGGAAATAAGGGTAAATCCCCACAATCCCATCATGCTTGTGCTTAGTGGTTGCTGTAAGCACTCACCCGGCATCAGGCTGTTTTCCCTGTGTTCTCTCAGCTCACCTGTGTGATTTTGTAGGGTGCTGAAGATGGCAGGCAGCTCCGCTCCTTGGGTCGGCAGTGCTTATCTCTTCCTCCAGTCCACGTGCAAGACTATTGTTCTGCCATCTCTCTACGAAAGCTCCCAGAAGAAGCCTAGTGTGTTTAAGGCTCTGAAGCTGGCATTTGCAGGTACCCATCCTCTCCGATATTTTGGCACACTGTCTCATCTCTTCATGCAATGCCATGCCTTTCTTTAGTTTCACACTCATGGGTAAGGAAAGCTGGTGCTCACTGCATTTAGGAAAGTCAGTAAAGGGGAGCAAGTTCAGCAGAGGTCCACCAGGATGGCTGGGGGCTGGAGCACTTGTGCTGTGAGGAGAGGCTGAGGGAGCTGGACCTGTTCAGCCTGGAGACGAGAAGGCTTTGGGGGACCTACCAACAGCCTGCCAGGACCTATGGGGAGGGGGAGAAGGAGCCACACTCTTCACAGCGGTTCATGGGGAATGAGAGACAACAGGCATAACTTGAGACAAGAGGTAGACACCAGACAAAAGGACAAACATTTTTCCGTGAGGACAATCAAGCAGTTGTCCAGAGTAACTGTGTATTCTCCATCCTTGGGGGTTTTCAAAACAGGACTGGATAAAGCCCTGAGCAACTTGGCCTGACCTCAGAGCTGACCCCGCTTTGCCTGGGAGGTTGGGCTAGAGACTTCCTGGGCTTCCTTCCAACTTGAACTATTCTGTGAGTCCCCCTGCTTTATGAATGTTTGTTTAAACCCGTTTATGTAAGAGGGGGAAAGATTGCAATTGCTAGGAAATAAGATTTAATTTCTGTCTTTATACCACCACAGAAACATGATTTCTGCTTTGAGGAGCTGATTTTTAAAATGAGTGATAGCCAGTATGAGTTCTTTTCTGATAGAAACAGGCACAATTACGTTGGCTTCAGCTGTATGTGATCCTGTTCACACCAGAAAAGGACTTGAGATGCAAATGGCACCAAGCTGACTGCAGAATAATAGTAATTTGAAGAGTTTACCATATTTACCTAGAATGACTCTCACGGTGTTTTTTACCTACCATACAGCTGAGTTTATATTGTTTAACTGTGCTTGTGTACCTGTACTGTAATTTCTTCTGGCAATCATCAGTCTAGCAAAGTCACCTAGTTTATCCAACACAAGCCTGCTCATCTTGCAGCTCGATCCAAAGACGTGAAGCAGCAGGAAGCCCGACACAGTTGTCCAGTTAGGCTTGATTTATGGATTTCACTGGAATGTGAATCTGTTCATACATTTAAAAACACTAAATCCTGCCATGCTTGTTCAGACCCAAAAAGGACATGAAATCTGAAGCTGTCTGAAGTTCCATGAAGAAAAGCATGCAGAATTCTCTCTTTTGAGGTAGCTTTACAGCTGTCTTGTACACCATTCATGAAAGTTTCCACATCCATACAGCTTTTCCCTCCCCAGCCTTCTTACCCTGTTACAGTAGCTTTTGTTTAACCAGCACTCATGAAAAAAAAAAAAATCCTGAAGGAAGTGACAAAAAAGCATTTCTCATCAGCAACAATGAATTAAAATTCCATTCCTCAGTGCCTAGTCCCAGTTACACGTCTGGTCCAAACTAGACTTTCGGATGCCTTTCCGAACCAGGACTCTGTAAAGCCACTGTTAGATCCCATACTTTTAGATGCTAGGTCACTTGTCCTGCCTAATGTGGAGCACACAAGTCTGCTTTGCCTTGGGGTTCTCTTACAAGCATGTCAAATATTGCCACGCCACAGCCAAGAGGTTAATTGGGGTCTGGAAGCAGTACAGTCAGCCTCCCACAGGCCTCTGCTGCGAAAAAGAGAAACACATGTACTTTGAACTGTCATCATCAGCATATAAAATCCCTGTGGAGACGAGGTCAATGTGCACAGCTGATCAAAAGTAGATTTTGCTGGGAGAAGGAAGAACAAAGGGCCAACCCACAAGCACTCGCTCACTCAATCCCTCCTCGACCCCACCCAAGGACAGGGGAGAGAATTAAAGGGGTAAAGGGAAAAAAGGACTCATGGGTTGAGATAAGAACAATTTAATAACTAAACTACAATAATATTGAAAATAATCCTGTATACAAATATACGAATGAGTGACACACAGTGATACTGCCCCCCCCCACCCGATGGCCGAGGCTCAGCCTCTTCCCGGCTAACGATCCCAGAGCAGGGAGAGTCCCGAACCCGCACTCACGGAACGGAGAGAACAGTCCGAGCGTCCAAGACCCAGAGCTGACCGGGGTGGGGGGGGAAGGCCTTGGGAGAGTGACCACCTGGAGTGAGATGACCTGGAGCAAAAGAGATCCGGAACCAAAAGGGGCCGATCTTCCAGAGGGTCCTCACCTGGGCATGATGGGTATGTTATGGAATAGATTATTGGCCACTTTGGGTCTCAATCCCGAACCTAAGATCAAATCCTGGGCTGGTAACTGGGGCTGTACTCCCTCCCAGCTTCTCCTGTTTGCAGACAGCCAGAGAAGCTGAAAGACCTTGGCAGCCGCATAAACATCACTGTTATCAGCTTTCTTCTGAGCACAAATCCCAAACACAGCCTCTTGCTAGCTATTATGAAGAAAGTTGCCTCTGTCTCAGCTGAACCCAGGACACCGACCTCTGTTGTCCATGTCTCATGCTCCCCCAGCACTAGCACTAGAGGGTACATCCCTGGCTTCTCCTTGCTTAGATTTTACCATGAATTAATTCTCTGTGCAAAAGCACTTAACAAGTCCAGGCCCAATCTCAAGCAGCCTAAATTCCTATGGCTGGATCTGTCATTCACCATTTGTGAGGTGTCTTGAAGGCACAGGGTAGAGAGGAAATGCTGGGTCTCTTTCCAGGACCTTCATCACTGCATAAAACTCAAGTCACAAGGACTGAAGTCTGACTGAGCACTGAGCTGAACTATGTGCTTTCATCTGTAAAACTTTCCTGTGTTACCAGTTTGGCATAACCATTTTTGTCCTGGAAATGAAACCTCAAATGTTAAACCTCCCCTAATAAGCAGTGTTGGGATAATTACCTGGGCTGTAGTGCCATACAGCTTCAGTTGGACACCATTCTGCATGGGGATTGACGGTGGCAGGGCAGCAAAACCTTAATCCTTTCCTCTTGGTTTTACATACAGGATTTTCGTCCCAGAGGACTTTCTCACAGAGAAAAGAGAATTCGAAAGCTGCTCTGTTGCAGGCTTGGTGGTGGATGGGAGTGGGTCTGGGTTGTCTGTCTCATGTGACTCTGCTCACTTCTCCCTGCCAGACTCCACCGGCAGCGTGAATGGTGTCGACATGCTGAAAGTGCACTGCAGCCACCCGCACCTGATAGTCCAGCTCAAGTTCTGCAAGCAGGAGAACTGCCGCCGGTTCCTGCAGAGTTACCGGGAAGGAGCGCTCCAGGAGTCCCTCCAGAATCACCTCCAGCTCTCCTTGGCCATGACCACGGTGCCTCTTGAAATGGAGCTGAAGGCTGGCAACGAGCACCTCGACAGCATGCTGAAGGATGAGGATCGCTGCCTGGAATGTATCTACAGAGAAAAGGTGAACGGGAGAGGGAGGGAGGCCAGGCAGCAATGAGAAGCGATAGCACAGGACGCGGGAAGGTGGATGCAAATCTTGCTCTGCTGCAGCACACTGGGCTGTTGACTTCTCCGTCCTTCAGTTCTCAGGTGTAACGTGGAGAAACAGCTCTGCCCTCCCCCAGGAAAGAGCCGTGCACTTTTCTGGAAGGGCAAAAGAGTTACTTAAAACAGCCTACAGGGATTCTGCTAAATCACTGTGGTTTCTGTGTGTAACAATTAGCACAGTTGTTATCACCACTAAAATGAGGAATTATAGAAGGTGCAGTTGAGAGCACAAGCAAGCGTGCCTCAGTACACCTGTGAGGCAGGCAGAGAGGACAGCAGTCCTGTGTGGAACCATCACCACTCAGCAGCTTCCCCCCCCATCTCGCACACCACCTCCTCTGAGAGTAGCAATGGTAACTGCACCTAGAAATCAGCCCAAGTGCAAACACTCTGCACATTATGCCAACCACTTGTGACAGCGTGGGGACACACAGCATCTGCTGCCAGCAGGAGCAGGCTGCCTGTCTGAAGGCAAAGTCTCCCTCTCTCACGGGCGATATCTGACATCAGGTCATCACACGCTTTGGCACTGGCACTTGAATCCCACTAGCAAGAACAGTGAGATCTTGTCATCTCACCACAAAACCAAGGCACTTGACATGATTACACTCATTGCCTTTCTCCTCTCCTCTTTTTTTTCCACCTGAAACAAGCAATACCTTATAGCTCTGGTTCCCTCGAGATGGTCCTGAGGAAGAGGTAGTCACCATCTACTTGGGAAGATGAGGCACAAGAGCACGTTTTGCCAGGTTGCTTTTCTGCAAGCACAGAGAATGAAATGGAAACCTTTCAGCCCTGGCCCGAACAATGTGTGATATCCCGTACCCTGTCAGCTTCTGCTTGCTGCTCTCTCCTTCTGCTAAAGGAGCTCACTGGACAGAAGAGATGGGCTTAATCTCAGTTCCCCAAAACTGACTCGGTCTGACATCTGCCTAACAGTGCAACAGTCAGAAAGATGCCACTATGGCACAGCTGTCACTGGCTGGGAGCAGTGCTGGGTACCAACCTAAACACTAGACTGAGTCAGAGCACTCCCCATGTGCTTTGCCTTCTTTACTCCTGTTCTCATTATCTTTTTGGAGATCAGACTAGTTTTCTCTTGGTTAGTGAGAAAAACTGGCTTGAAGAAGAACCAGGAACAACAAAACTTAGGTAACGGAGAGGCAGAGAGAGAGAGAAGTGGGGTAGCAGGAGCTGCCTGCTTTGGTGGCCATGAGCTGTTGGATCTGGTCTAACCCTCACGTGGAGTAAGTCAGGGAAGCCGCGCTGCCTGTGGTGCACCCTAATTTTTGCAGAGGGCTGCTGGAAACAAACACGGACTGGTAGCAGTTTTGTGCAACTTGTAAGCACTCACTGCTGCATGTGAGAAACCCAGGAGGGAGAAACTGCCTATTTCATATCATGTTACAGATTCAGATTCACACATTTACAGGCAGAAGTCCATTCGACTATCTCATCTGGTCAGTTTACAGCTCACACGATAGCTATCTCATTGTTCCTCTCTTGACACCATCATCTTAAGCTGCACCTTCCAGCTCAGCATCTACAGCTTTGCAAGATGGTGAACCTGGCACGAATCACTGATGCTGTTTGCGTTACAGCCTGACCGCCTGCAGGATGCAGAAATCACAGAGCTGGAGGAGTGCTTCCGGAGCCTGATTGTTCACCAGAGCATCAATAACAATATGGCTGTAAAAGACTGTGCATCTCTGAACTCCCCGCCTCTACCCTGTCCTCAAGGCAGCTCCCTTTCCCCACAGGTCACCTTCATCTTTCAGGGACAAGAGTTCGGTGAGTAGCTAGAACTGACTGAGAGAGCCCTTGGTCTTCCTCACCTCACAGCCCAACGGGGAGAATTAACATGACTACATTTAGGGGTCTACCTCACATAAATCAAGGATTTCCCAGCATCCCATAAGGAATTACTATAATCCTGAAATATTGGTGTCCTGCTTCAGATCAGGCCTCAACCCGTTTTCTTTTCTGGGGTGGCACAGAACCAGATGCTTCAGTGTGCGTCCCTTCCAGGTTCCTCACATTTTAAAACTCCTTAATACTGAAAGGAAGAACACAGAGTCATTTTCTCTTCCTCCATGTCATTTGGTTGGGGTGAGTTAATAGCATAGGTCAGACTGGGAAGGTTACTATGGCCACCGTCAGCCCTGCTTTCAGCCAGGACTGATTTGTGCAGGCTCCCTTGCAGTACACCAGCTGTCTTTGTCTCATACAAAGAGCTTTCACACAGTCTCACATAGCAATTTTAGCTTGATATCAGCTAGATAATTGCTGAGTATGCTTCAGCCACGTTTACAGACTCCAGTGCTAAACAGCCAAGGAGAGAGCTGGCTGCGTTTCAGTACTTTGAGGATGCTTAGGTAGGGAACAGGGGACTTGGTCAGAAAGGCCTTGTGGAGTTGCTTTTGAAAGGCTGAAACATATAAAGAGGATGTCCATCAGAAAAAAAAATATATATCTCTGGCAAACCACAGGACAGTCCCATGCTGGGGAAGGAGAGGAGAGAAAAAAGAAAAAAAAAGGGAAAATAGGCATTGTGAAGCTTGCAGGGTGGGGGCAAGGCCAGATACTCTGATGTTGTCGGAGGATTTCTGTAAGGGAACAGCCTGAGCAAGGCAGGGAACTCAGATGTGCCAGGGTGGACGGCAGTGAGCAGGTGTGTCACCATGTGCTACTTTGTCACCTGAGGCACCAGCACTGCCTGGGGGATGGCAGACTACGTGGAGAGCAGACGTGTCTAGCTCATACGCAGAGAGCAGGGAGACACTGAGCAGTGAGGCTTACTCCAGCTGATTTTCCCTTTCCACTGGTGGAGGAATGCCACTGGAGCACACAGACCCATGGCAGGGCAGTCCCGTTAGCTTCAGTGCTCTTGCACTTCTGCTCCAAACTCACCGTGGTGCCCTGGGGTTAAAACAGCAGAGGACAAACAGAGCAGCTCTGCAGCAGTCTAATAACATGCTGTGGACGCTGAACAGACTCTCTGCTCCTCAGAATATTGAGCAAATCTGGGACTGGCCCAAGATGCATCACATCAGCCATGAAACCTCTGTGTTTTACCTGCCCTCTGTCCCTTTCAGCCAACAGAATGCTCACACCGGACGACCACCAGAAATTTGCCAAGCTCGTGTCCAAGAAATGGAAGCAAGTGGGTCGCTCTTTGCAGAAGAACTGCCGGGCCCTGCGTGATCCTGTCATTGATAACCTGGCCCTCGAATATGACCGAGAGGGACTATATGAACAAGCCTATCAGCTGCTTCTCAGATTTATCCAGTCAGAGGGGAAGAAAGCCACAATAGCACGGCTGATCGCAGCCCTGGAAGAAAATGGTCTCATCAGCTTGGCTGAGGAGCTCTTGGGCCTCCATTCCAATGAGGACTGCTCCTAGAGCCCGAAGGGTAGTGGCATTGCGAAGGGCTTTCGTGCTTTAGCTAGTGTATGAGTCTGCTGCCAGTGTCTGGGAATATAAAGTCCTGAAAATCACCGCAGGTTTCCATGTAGATGGGAATGCCTGGGGCAGAGGTTCTGTGCTCGCAGAAGCCAGCACAGACCTCTGACGTTCCTTGTTTCATTCTGTTTCCAGCAGTCAACGTTACTTTCCCATGAAGTGGTGAGAGAGGCTTTCAGCCTGACCTCCTTCGGGACTGAAACGTCACAGGGAAGCAGCTAGGCAGTTAGAGAGCCCTGGGCGAGGGTGGGGGAGAGGAGAAGAGCGAGGAAGGCATCGCAGAGGATGTCTCTGGGGAGCAGAAAATGCCACTGTTGCTCAGGCTGTGGCCCAGGGCCATCACCTGCAGAGCTGCAATATATTTTTTTATATTGAAGACATTTATGCCCTCAGGCGTGATATCAAGCAAAGACAGAGGGGAAATTAAGGAAAAGCCCACATTATATTATTTTCCTTCTTCATTCTTCAAACGAGGAACATGTGTGGTAAGTCCATCTGTCCTGTCCTACCTTAGTATAGCTCCTTCCCACCTCTCGCCACCTGAGGATTTCCCTTTTACCTGGGACAGCTGTAATCTTCCACAGGGCACAAGATTGCTACTGTAGAACAAATTTCAGGCACTGAACAAGTAGTATGGACAAACACAAATTCAGAGGATGATTCCCAACTTTTTGTGGACCATGGTGGACAATAATATATTGACAACATTGTGCTTAGCTCTTTCCCACCAACCCAAGGGAGCCTACATCTGTGAAAAGCAAAACACAGTGCTGGCAGGAAAAGAAGCAGTCTCCTGCTCAGCAAGTTACCTGTGGAGCGCAGATTGGAACTGCTGCTCTAAGGTGTGTCACAGCATCAAATACCATCCTGACCCCAGCCCACAGAGCCGAGTGACTGCCTCTGACCAGTGGCCGCTAGTGCCTTTGCTCACTGCTTAACTACCCGCCCTGGGCCTGCTGAGTTCACCGACAAGGAGAGCCCACACCATCGTGTCCCACAAGAGCTGGGATTTGCACAGAGCCTTTTCCTGGTGGTGGTGTGACAACTGGGCATCAGCAGCTGTGCCTGGATTTACCTGCTCTGATTTTGAGGGTTAAAAATGGCTTAAAGCACCCAAACCCCAGGGCTGACATGCTGTGAGCTCTGGTGGGAGAAGCTGTCTCCTGGGATACAGGTGATGCAGATTGCACCAGAGCAGAGTTTACACCCTTGCCCATAACAAAGCACCAAGTGTCTAGCATGACATGGGTCCCAAGAAGCACAACAGCAGCTTGGTTACCTTTGACATATTCTCTATGCTTTCTCAATATGCTTTTACTTATTGTTTTCTATTAATTCTATCCCTCTTTGCCCTTCCCCTCGGTGGGAGTAGCCAGTGGGCCTTGGAAAGTATTTCAGATGTAGAGGGTGGCCCTGCCAGCACACATAAAGCCTGGGTGTGCACCTGAGTATCGGGCCACTGGCAGTCGTGGTAGGACCAGCTTTCAGACAGGCACGTCTGGATGGCCTTTTAAACCACAGCTCACATCCTCATCCTTCCTGGAGGCAAAGCTGTGGTTCAGTAAGGAGGGATGCAGCCCTGGATTCAGGTGTGGGCTCAGATCTGAGCTCCTGGGGCTGGTGCTGCTCCCTTAGCTTCTGCCAGAATGCAGACTGTGAGCATCAGCTAACTGAAGACCCAGATCAGGAGGATTTAGATAGCCAGCATCCACCCAGCCAGGGTCCACACGCCTCGGAGGAGCTGAGCATTGCCTTCTTCAGTGTAAGCCTGAGGAACCTGGCGTTTTTCTGCAGATTTTGAATCCCCAAAGTTACGTACAGGGTGGAAAGGAGATGAAGGGGGTTAGAGATGGGGAGAATGTTTTCAGGGTGTGAATCTGTTTCTAACTTGCCCTTAGCTTCACAGGAAGCAGGACTTCATGCAGGCATCTTCTCTACAAAGACTGTGGCCCGTGGCATTTTATTAAGCCATTCTGCATCAGTGCTGTTGCAGCCTCATC